ACTGGGAATGGGAATGGGAAGGACTTCGGAGGAGTTCGGGAACGCGAATGCCTCGCGGAGTAAATGTCAGTCCGGAGAGGCCGGGATAATGAGACGAGTGAGGAAGGAGATGTTACCCACCGTGGGTCTGCTGAGAGCTCGAGAGTGTGAGAAAATACGGGAAGTATTTCCAAAAATACTCAGGCCAGGAATTAACATCTGTGTGGTTGTGGCTCTGCCGCAGGAACAGTGCAGAGGACAACAGTCCCCAAGTGCCTTTCTCTTTCTGAGCCCTTTGCTTTGTTTAACTCCTACTTTTAAGTAATGGGAAGTAGGAATTCATTTTGGAGGGGCTTTAAAAAACGTAAAAATGACATATTGAAGTGAGATGTGTAGGCAGTGTGTGAGAGAGATTGTTTCCTCCTGAAAGATCAGGAACGCAGGAGCTTATTTAAAATAAAAAATTTTTAAAAAATCACAAAAACCCTCAAAGCAAACGTTTGGAGTAGAGTTTCAGAAAGCAGCTGGAAGGAGCACTGTGGGCTGGGCTGCTGAACCTGCCTTCCCTACCCAGAAGCCCCATTGGTGCTCCTTCAGTTGCTGTTACTGATGGACCTGTGTCTCACCTGGTTTTTGAAAGATCTCTTTTTTTAAAAGATAATGGAGTCTCTGTGACCTTGATAGGCAAAGTGCATAACTGTGTTACTGTGAGAAGACTTTTCATACCATCAGACCTCATTCCGTGAAGCTTCACTAAAGCTTGGTCTTACTCCTCCTGTTCATATCTGACACAAAGGTCAGATTATTCCCTTCCCCCAGCTACCCTGTACCTGGACTCTGCACCTTTCCCAGATTTCCATAGACCAACCAGTTCCAAGCCTCCAGCCACCCTTCAGGAGCTGATTCCCAGAGCTCCCTGTTCTTCCTGCCCAGCTCTGAACTCCTGGGTTTGCTTGTGACTCTCACGAGATGGTGCCCAGCTCTGGACATGGGGCTGGGCTGGGATGTGGTGCCAAGGGGAGGGAAGGTGCCTCAGGGATCTGCCAAGAACTGCTCTCACACATCTGTGTGAGAGTTGTCTTCTCCTTCTCCCACTGCAACCAAGTGATATCATTGATCGTGTTTCATCTTAACCCTCTCTGCTGTTTGTATTCTCTATTTGTACATTTTAGTTTGGACCTGCACATGATCATTTTAGATTTGTCAAGATCTTTTGAAAGCCCAGTTCAACCCATGGCCCTCCAGCCTTCCCAGTTTCACATCTTAGATTTAGAAGGTCCTCAAGCTGTACAACAGATGAAAGATTTAAAGCACTGAATTGGGTTGGACTTTGATCAAATCCTCTTCTGACCCTTTCTGTTGCATCCTTGCAGTCTGACAGTGA